TTTTTCCAGTGTAGTGTTCAATATTTGCACACTACAAAGTGTGCGGCTCAGTTAAACACCATGGCATGTGCAAAATCATAAGTTACACACTTAAAGGTGCAATGTTTGCACACTTGTTTCACCAGTAAGGACTTGACCCGGGACGGCGATCGTTGCCGCCACACGTCCGGGTGAAGGGCCTGTGCGGCATTTTGGGTGCCGGCTGGGCGGACCTCTCAAGAAAGGAACCCAAAAAAGGCAATCGCCATCTTTTGATATGTTGACCCCCGCACTTCAAAACGCGCCAATAGTTATTTGCTGAGTCAACAGGAAAAAAAAACTCCACACTTTGATGTCTTTTCGCCTTCCGCGACGGCATAGAATGACTCGTGGCCAGGGGCGACGGCCGGTATCTCGCCTCTATGGCCCAGTCGGTAGAGCACCCGCCCAGAGCATCGCAGGTCGACGGTTCGACTCCAGGCTCGGCAACATTTTTCGCTTTCCGCTTGGCGTTAGTGTAAGGCCACAGGGCCGACCTGCAGTTCAAGTAGAATTTGAACACGGCTCACCTCCGTTGGCTGGGTAGCTTTGGTGGCAGGGTCACTGTAACTGTCGAATTGACTCGGCCGAGGGGTGCCCAACTCGAAAAATCAGTGTACACCGGATTACCAAACAGTAAAGATTACCTAGGATTACCTGAGATTACCGAGGATTACTTGGGATTACCAATGATTACTGACGATTACCAAAGATTACTGGTGATTACCAAAGATTACCGATGATTACTTAAGATTACCGGTGATTACCAAAGATTACCGGTGATTACCAAAGATTACCGGTGATTGCCAAAGATTACCGGTGATTACCGGTGATTACCGGTGATTACTACAGATTTCCAGTGATTACCGAAGGATTACCAATGATTACCAGTGATTACCGAGAATTCCCTTCATAATGGGCGTCAAGCACCAATGAGAGCGCCTGCCAGTTAGGCAATCTTTCCTCCCTCCGCGCACGTCCGATGCACTGGTGGCCTACCCGCCCCTGTTACCTGGACCGAAAATCGGGTCTGCGCGAGAGACATCCCCCTCCCCCCAGCATTTGGAAGCTCCTCTGCTCACCTCCTCCAGATGGAGAACCACCATGAGAGCTTGGTCAACCCTTTTTTGACCATCAAAATGCAGTTTTGTTTCCTTTGTTCCCTGTGTTTCCTATGGAACCTGCTAGATCCTTGTAAATGGTTTTGTATCTCCCATGTTGTCTGTGGTGTTACCCTCATGAATGCGAGTGTTTTTCTCTCCTTAGACCTTGCAAACTTTTGTCAGCAACTCTAGTCATAAATTTTGACGCTACTTTTGTGAATGTAACTATGAAAATCATATAGTCAGGCTTGAGGTATATTTTTGTCTTGTGCTATATCTCTGAAATTACTGTTGCTACAATTGTTTAAAATAGATATTGTGTATATTATCTGTATTGTGGTAATACTTTGTTAATAGCACTTTTGGTGAAATGTTCATTTGACCATGGAGTAATGAAAGTGTTAACCCTATAGTGTATATTGTGTGGTTTTGTACTTATAAATTCCTGAGTGTATTGTGAATGTGTCTTCTGACTGCGTTACCTGAGAAATGGGTGGCTATGAACAAGCAGTTGTTATAACCCTTGTTGAAGTTAAAGTATTCTGTTGAACGAAGATGCTATGTGATTATTGTTTTCAGTAATTATGTGGGGTCAAGCACCACGTTACTTTGTTTTTCTGTGCTTCTCCAATTATTGTTTTAATAAAACAGCATTGCGTTCAATACTCAATATAATTATTTTTTTACCAATCCCTAGACTTAGTGTCAGAATTGTATCAATTTGAAAACTAGCATTCCATTTGAATGAAAGCATATGGCAAGACAATCAAACAAAGAAGTCCTGATTTTGTTCGTGAAGACAGTTTTAATAGAATCAAAATGCATAAGAAGGATTCTGCATGAGATTTCTTTATTAGAAACAGAACAATTTTAAGTTAATCACAAAACTATAATCAGAATTCTAACATTTCTAAATATTTTGCTTCACATATATAAAAATTTCCTTAACTAAAGCCGTGCCCAGGCACACATTAATAAATTAGGTTTTGGATCTAGCATTTAAAACCTAGCATAAACATTCAAGCTATATAAAATAATAGTCATTGCACAGCACTTGTTTCCTAAGGTAAAACAAAGTTCTTTCTAACAGTAAGGGTTTACCTAATATTATTTGCTATTCAAGTAAAATACAGCCATAGTCATATTTTTAAAAAAATAATTGTCAATATTACATACTATATACTTTACAAGATCACATATTTACTTATTTGATTTGGTAACATTTAAAATTTGGCGGGTGGAGCAAGCCAATACCAAGTGGTCATTGACAATGGTTGGCCTGGGGACTGTACAAATATAATTAGAGATGCTGTAAAAGCCATGGTTATCCATTGGAATAATTTCAAGTCTCTTGTTTTTTAATAACCTGTACCATATGCAAAGACAATCAATGCCTCTTGCACCACTTGATGGTGGGAGTACCTGGACTGAAAGTTTGGAATATTGCTGGTCATGCCATGATTTACCTGTGCTGTAACTGAACCCAAGGACCCTCCCGATGACAAGTGAGTTGTCAGCCTCCTCAGTGAAAGCGCAATAATTGCCAACAAATATTTTCATCTTCGACTGAAGGCAGGAGGGACACGTTTTCATTTGTCAAATTACACCTGTGGCTCTGGACTCCAGGGCTCTTTACTCGTAGAAGCCTGTCACTACTTAGTTTAAAATCACTTGATGATAGGAGCCAACATAATGTAGACTTCCAAATTATCACAGCACCGTTGCCATCCAACACTTTAACAAAGGGACTAGTTGGGTGCACGTCTCGTTCTGACAGACATTTTACTTGCAAAGTACCACGGGATATTTGCAGTAAATCCTCTGCAATGTCACACTCACTACATGCTCCACTAATGTCACTGATGTCCACAGCATTTTCATCTTCATCTTCATCATTTTCATCTCCATTCTCACAACTGCTGGGATCCATTTCAATGTGCTCAAGATCATGCTCATCTTCCAAGTCATCTTCATCTTCTTGTTCTTTGTGTGAAGCATTCTTTGGTATTTCCATAAAAGGTACAGCTGTTTTTTTCTTCGTCAGCATACCAAGATTTGTTGCTAGCTTAACAGCTTCTTCTTTAGCAGATGATATTATAAACTCAATATCTAATTCTTCAGGTAGAATAGAGACAGCATTATTTTTGCTACTATCACTGCGTTTAGAAGAGGCTTCTCTTCTTGAGGAAGGGAATTGGAAGTCATCACCAAGTCTACATTTGGCTTCATTCAAGTAGTCGATTCTTCTTATTCGATGCTGCATATCAAGAATACTGAAGTTGACAACAGTGGATTGTGTTGACGTCATGGACCGCAGAGCCCTGAAAGCACTTTCACAGGGCTGGCTACCGGTAAGCCATGGCAGAAAAAGATGTTGCTCTTCTCGGTCTCTAAAATAACGAACCATGTGAATCAATGCATGAGCATTTAACTCAATGCAGTAGTAGCAATTTAGAGTAATGAAATTACGACTAACCGAATAACTCTTATTATCTTTCAGATACTGCCTCCAAATTCTAAGAAAGAAAGTCCACTTCCAAATCTTTAAAATTCGTTCATCTGTAGTTAATGTTTCATCAGTGAAGGCATCAACAACATCTCTAGTCAACTCCAGGTATGCAACTGTAGCTTCTGCATCTTTGTTCACAGAACGCAGAAGACAAGTGACTTTAGGATCAGTCATGATACGCACAGAGCGGTAGTTCATTTTATCCTTGTCATCCAGGTGAGATGGTTGAAGACAGTGTTGATCCTTCGGAGCAGTTTGCAAGAGGTCAACAAGATGGGCTTTGGATGCTACATACTTCCCCATTGGGAGTATGATTAATGGAGTATTAAATCTACCTCTTAACTTGGTAGCAATATGTATGTGGTCCTGAGTGAACAGATGTGGAACACTTCTGGGGGCAGAAAACCAATTTTTGTTGTTCTTGAAAACTCTGGAACACATAGCTTTTAAAATTCTAGTGTCACCATCTCCAGAAAAGTTGACTATTTCAATATCATGCTCCTTGCCTTTACCTACCATCCATTCCCATCTATGGCTCACATCAGCATAATCAAATTTGTTATCTGTGCCAAATAAGGCCAGGCAAAATGATGGAGCATTGGGAGCAATGGGCTGCACAATCAAACAATAGGCAATATTGCTTACAGTATTTTCTTCAAAATACTTAGAAATTGTTCTTGCTGATGTTGCAGGGTACTTCCCAACACAAGGAAGTCCATTTTGATCAAGAGGAAGTGGAAATCCAACAATCTGGTTAGTCTTTCTATCATATTGAATTTGGCCCTTCACTCTGGTTCCATCTTCACTAACAGAGACTCTTCTTGGGAGATTTCTTGCAGTTAAAAAGTCACTAAGTTCTTTAAACCTGAAGTATCCTTCCCGGATAGTGTCTTTAGTGCACAAATTTGCACGAATGGTGGATACTGATGGTATAGGCAGATTTATGTACATTAACAGATAGCACAAAAAGCCCCCAACAATAAAAAAATAAGTACAAATATCTTTCAGTTTTGAGGAATACCTTTTCCCAGTATCACTTTTGCCAAAATTGTTTTTGGCGGACTCTATTAAGCTTTGAAGAAAGTTACTAAAGCGCACATGCTGATCTCTTTTCTCTTCTGATATGTTCATGGCAGTTGTGGCTAGTAGTCTTTTTCTCAATCTAATATTTTCTGCTTCTAAAATATCTTGCCTGTTCAGGACTCTAAAATAAGAAGTAATCACTGTATTATTTTTCAAACCAGCTTCCTCAAGTTGTCGTCTGGTTCTAGACAAACGACTATAAATGAAGTCCTTCCATTTACTTTCAGGTACTGCTGAATTGTGATTGGAGCATGGAGAGTCTGGTGCAGTGCTCAGGCTCTCCAATTCTAAAAATCCGTTCCAAGATTATTCTTTCCACGTATAGCGTTCTCATTCTTTTTTTCACTGCAGATGTTGTCAACATGTTCATCCGCGTTGTCTTCTAAATTTACAACTTGAGTGTCACTTTCTCCACTAATGGTGCTTCCAGAATCATTTTCTCCGGGCCCCTTCTCACGATGTTCAACTTCATTGGCAGTAGTATCAGCACTGTCACTTTTTTTCTTTTTAACTATTAGACTACACAAAGTTCCCTGACCATTCCGCTTACGGTTTAGGTGGATTTTCATGTGTCTATAAAAGTTGTGTGACCACCGAGAACCTTTCTTGTTTCCAGAGCTAATCGTGTTGCATTCTGCCACTGGACAGCCAATTCGGCATGACAGCCCTCCAAAGGCATCTCTTGACACTGTCACTGGTAACACTTCATAGTCCACTTCTACATCCGGAGCATTTTCTTCTAACCATTTTGACAACATGGAATGGAGATGATTAACGTCTTTCTCAAAAGTGCCTGGGGGGCCACTAGGCTCTGCTTGCTGCTGTGCTGAAATAACATCACGATTGGCTGGTTCTTCTCTTCTTTTGTTGTGACCCGAAAAGAATGTTGAAGATTTACTGTTCGTAAGCTCCACCATAGCCTCCAAGACACGTCTATAATAAAAAATAAAACCACACATTGTTAGTGCATGTTCTTTACAAAATAATCTGTGGAAACTTTTGTACTTAAATAAAAACTTACTGAAATCCACCCATAATTTCAAAGAGTTGTGGTTCCTTGGCGAAGATACCATAGTACATCTCATATTTGCTTTCATCAACAAGCTTATGGAGCTTTTCCACCATGAATTTTTCTATTTTAGCAACATCGTCCTTATCAAATTTTTGGAGGGCAGCCTTACATTTGTAGCCCATAAAACATAAAACTGCTTTGAGTTCAGGAGGTAAAGTAGAACGCAGGCGGTCTTCATAAGCTAGCCAAAAGGCATCAACTTTCTGCAATAACAATAAAAATGAAAACAATGAGTCACTGAGCAATGCGTCCCTCATTATTAACATTACGTGAAGGCTAGGACGGTCACAGTGGTGTAAGTACTCTTACATAAAACTACAGAGTGAAACAATACCTTCTGTTCATTCAGCAGTACATCGAGATCACCAGCTGCTGGTGTTGCTCCCATCTTTGCTTCCTTTAACAACTGCACCTGTAACACACCATAGAAAATGAGAAACAGAACCAACGGGACGTACAGCACACTTACTGGATTTGTATCTTTTATCTGAACGAATTTAAGCAATCAAGTTTTTTGCACACATTTCTGCGTTGATTTGTGTGCATTTATTTCAAGGGAATCACGCACCTTTGTGCACAAATTTGTACGGTACGAAACATTGGTTTAACTCTTCAGCATGGACGAAAGTTTGAACCAATTTCGTTACGGCAACTTTATCACTAGCAAGCAAACAACACGATGGAAAGAGAAAAAAGTGCGCTTTGCGCTTGCAATACCTTACTCACAAAAAATAAGGTGATTATAATTCATAACTCTCTTACCAGTCACGTTGACTTGAGTTAGGTTAGAAGCTCACTTCTCAAGCTCACTCGTCTCGTCGACGTCCGTCGTCGGCGCGAGAATGAATGAAGCACATACGTGGGAGTGAGAGAGAAGATGTCGGGGAGGGAAGGGGTCAAGATGGCTGTTCCTAGGTGGATAAAAAGTGCGCGAACCACACAGAATTCAAACACCCTTCAAGTATTTGGCTTAGTTAGCGTCCCATCACACCGTATTATACCCCTTCACAACACACAATAAGATTTGAATTTAGGTAAAGAACGCTCGTTTGCAAACGGTCTTATTTTGAGACGCCCCCTCCCCCACACCTTTTTATTATTTTGCACCGGCGCTGCGGGCTGGGGCACTGCAGGCTGTGGGTCGGCCACCAACTGCGCACAAATACGGGGCGGGTCGGCCTACCCAACGCTCTGCAGGCGCTGTTATTGGCCTCGCCCCTGGGTACGCTAATTGCAGGGACACTTAAAGATTACTTGAATTTGCCGAAGATTACCAAAGATTACCAAAGATTACCAAAGATTACCAAAGATTACCGAAGATTACCAGTGATTACCGGGTGATTACCGGGTGATTACCAGTGATTACCGGGTGATTACCAGTGATTACCGTTGATTACCGACGATTACCTGCGATTACCAATGATTACCAATGATTACCACGGATTACCAATGATTACCACGGATTACCAATGATTACCGACGATTACCAGTGATTACCAAGTCTGTGTACACCTGATTACCACAGTTGGGCACCCCTCGGACTCGGCGCTCGGGGTTGTGGGTTCGAGTCCCGCGTACCCCTGATGGTAAGGCCTCTGAATCTGGGTTTCAGTCTTGCTCACCTTGCGACACCCGTAAGTCCAACAACCAAAGCCCTCTCCAATCCGTTTAAGTAGCTTTCATTAGCTGCGCGGGACCCGTCACAGACGGGTGAGGCACACTTTTTTTTCTTCCCCGCTTGCTTTATTTTTTTAATTGATCTGACAGGCCAAAAACATTCGAAAACAGTCGGCTCTCACCAATCTCCTTTCGAATGGCTCGAGGAAAAAGATATTTTGACAGGGATTCAAAGCACGAAACTTCGCGCCACTACTTAGTGCCCGACTGAACGCGGGCGGGTACGGCGTCACGGCGAAGACTGGTTGCCGAGTCCTTACTCAATTGAATTTCGAAGCAAGAATAGCATTTTTCTTGCCGCGGGGTAGCAGCTTTAGATCTGTGAGAACAGTCCGAATTCGAATCGAAACAGCCTAGCCCTAGCTGCACAGCAAACTGCCTACACATCAGGACGTCCTACTTGACGAATGGTCAAGAAAAATAGCCCCACTTTTCATTCGCGGTATATTGGGGGGGGGGG